CACTCAAGCAGCACGTACAGCTCAGGCTTGGTTCGAATTAACGCTCACTTCACCCGTGCAACATTCTTAAACTTGAGGACAGCAGGCACACTGGTTTCTGGGAGCTCTGTCTACACTTCCCGAACATTTGGATACATAACCTTCTCTGGCTCCTTGTCAAAGCCATTCTGCATGTCCCTAAAACATCATTTGTAGTCCCTCTAAGAAATCAGGGGCACAAAATTTCATCCTACCGTCATCCTGCCCCAGTGTAAATGATGCAGTGTTAGTCCCTGACCTGGAACCCTGTGGCTTCAAAGAATATTGCAGCTTTCACAGCCCCAGGAGGACCCAAAGCATTTTCCAGCTAACGGAGTACTGAACATTCAACAGTGTAAGTCATTGTTGTAATGTCAGAAACAGTGACTGATTTGTACACAGCAAGCTCCCACAACTAACAATGTGATAATGATTGGATAATACATTTTAATCATTGGGATTGAGGGTTTAATATCTATCAGAACATTATGGAGCAGTCCCCTGCTGTTTTCCAAAGTGGTGCCACAGGATAAGTCATGATTGCCTGAGAGAGCTGAAGGAGCCTTTGTTCAATGTGAGAATTTAGCTCACGTGCTATACTGGAATGTGACTGGAACCCACAACCTTTTGTCATGACCCACGACTTTCTTACAGCGCCAAAATTCACATCCAATTGGTAAAATTGGAGCATGTGGTGCCCCGAGCATCAGCACACGCATCCTTACAACAACAACAACTTCTATTTATGTAGAGCCTTTCGCATAGTAAAACGTCCCAATACATTTCACAGGAACCATTATCAAAAGTAATCTGACACCAAGCCAGATAAGGAGGTAACCAAAAGGTTAGTCCGAGATGTGAAGTTTCAAGACACACCTTAAAGGAAGAGAGTGAAAGAGAGAGAGAGAGAAGTTGAAGGAGGGAATTTCTGATTGAGGCCTCTGAAGGGACAGCTGCCAATGGTGAAACAATTGAAATGGGGCGATGTGTGACAGGCCAGATTTGGAGGACAGCAGAGATCTCGATAAGTTGTAGGACTTGAGATGATGGAGGTTGTAAGGGTGAATGGGATTTGGAACTAAGTACAAACATTTTAAAATTGAAGCATCAATAGGACAGGAACCGATAACGACCAGCAAGCACAGAGTGATGTGTGAACGGGACCGGGGGAGAGCTAGGATGTGATGAGCAGAGTTTTTGATCAGCCAAAGTTTACAGAGGATACAGGGCCAATGGCTGGCCAGGAACTTGTGGGAACTGTCAAACCTCGCAGTAACAAAGGCCTGGACAAGGGCTGCAGCAGCAGGCGAGCAGAGCTAGGTAGGCTGGTGATGGCAAGGAGCTGGAGAACCCAGAGAAATGCTGTTGGAGACTCAGCCCAGAGTCAAACAGCATATCTAGATTGTCCTTTTTATTCTTTCATGGGATTTGGGCGTCGTTAACAAGACCAGCCCATCCCTTGCCCTGACTGCATCGTTAGGTCAGTGCAAAGGGAAGTTAAGAGTCAACCACTTGCTGTGGGTCTGGAGGGATGTGCAGGCCATACTGGGTAAGGATGGCAGATTTCTGTCCCTTTAGTGAACCTGATGGATTTTAATGACAAACAAGGTAGTTTCATGGACACCATTACTGGGATTAGCTTTGAATCCAACCAACTCCTATAGTAGGATTTGAACCTATGGCCCTGGAACATTATCCTGGGCCTTTGGATTATGAGCTCAATGGTACTAATGCTATGCCATTGTCTCCCCACAACAGGACAGTTTGTGGCTAAGTTTGAAGACAATGGCTGAGGTCTCCACAAGACTTAACTGGAGGAAATTTCTTCTCATCCAGCATGGGGTGTGGAGACCATCTGGAGCTACCACAAGGTATCAATCTCCAGCCTGTCGCAGGGCAGTGAGAGAAGCAGTACTCAAGATCATAAAGCCCCTTACTTAGCCATCAATTAAGCACAAGTGCCTAAATCACAACTTTGAAATAATTTGTACATTAAAAGTTACCAGAATCAGGGTGAATAATAATACAGAATCTGTGATATACAGCTATCTTGATTTAAAATAGAATCCCTACAGAGCAGAAAGAGGCCATTTGGCCCAATGGCTCTGTGCTGACCCTCCAAAGAGTATCCCACTCAGAACTGCTGATGAAGAGTCACCGCACTCGAAGCTGTAACCCTGCTTTCTTCCCACAGATGCTGCCAGACCTGCTGAGTTCCGCTGGCAATTTCTGTTTTCTGTGTCGAGCCTTATTTTCTTGTCTGGCAGATGGATCAGGATGTGAGTTGAAATATAGGGTGGGTGCAGGGGCATTCTGTTGGTGACCATACGCACATCTGGGGACGGGGGAGCAGCTGCTGTTACTGCCCCTGGTGGTTAATGGCCATATTACACAGGCTCGCGGAGAAATAAAACGAAGGCAAAGACATGAGCAGGCTCCCAGGCTGGGTCTACAAAGATTGTCTTAGACAAGAGAGAACAGAAATCAAAATGAGGCCAGTCCTTTAAAACAGAGGATAATGGGGAGGCGACGGCCTAGTGGTAGTATCACTGGACTGTTAATCCAGAGAGCCAGATAACAGTCTGGGGACTCAGGTTCGAATCCTGCCACGGCAGATGGTGGAACGTGAATTCGATTTTGGGGACGGCACAGTGGCTCAATGGTTAGCACTGCTGCCTCACAGCACCAGGGACCTGGGTTTGATTCTACCCTTGGGTGACTGTCTGTGTGGAGTTTGCACATTCTCCCTGTGTCTGCGTGGGTTTCCTCCAGGTGCTCTGGTTTCCTCCCACAGTCCAAAGATGTGCAGGTTAGGTGCATTGGCCATGGGAAATTGCCCATGGGAAATTGCCCATAGTGTTCAGGGATATGTAGATTAGGTGGGTTACAGGGGGATGGGTCTGGGTGGGATGCTCTGAGGGTCAGTGTGGGACTTGTTGGGCTGAAAGGCCTGTTTCCACAGTGTAGGGGTTCTATGATCGAACTGGTCACCCTGCATCCCATCTACCCCCAAAAAGGCCAGTCCCAACTTCCACCTGTTGCTGACTGGGGACAATTCATGAGACCCACGACCCGAGACTGGGCTGGGAACTGGATAATTCAGACACATTTGGTATTCAGGAAGAATTCACACTGACATCTGGTTCAAAGCGCGGCTTTGGAGACTCTGCGTGATGGCTTTCATGGTGAAATAGCCATCCGTCAATCACATTCTTGATCCCAAACCTGAAGAACAGCGACTTAGGGCAAAGTTCCGGAGAGTCTTTCACGAGGTGAAACAGTAAACTCCATGGGACTTGTGTCCATGCAGGAAGGAACGAGAGGATGTTGGTGATGTTAGCTGTAATTATCTCAGCTATGGTTATTACAAATAAACAAGACAATGGGGATGTCACCTCCAGAAACAAGGCCCTGTATGTTGTCCCCTTTTGGGTGAACTTGAATCAGACTTAATATTAGCAATAAGATATATAGCTTTACCTGTTGCTACTGGCTTACATCTCAGCTGAAGATTAACGTTTTCCCAATATCCTAGAACAGTTTAACTGGGAACGCTGATGGCTTTTTTTAACTGAGAACCAGCTTACAAAACCAGGATCTCCCATCTCCTTTCAGGTCAGAATTCCCAAATCAATGTCATGACCTTTCTCCAACCCTCTTTATCAAATGACCTTGCCCCTACACTGGCAAGTGGATTCCCTTTAGTTTTGAGAAGTACAAATTTGTAGCTAAATAAATATAGAACATAAAGAGCTGGTGGAGAGTTGGAAACTATAATCAAATGGTGGGGGTTCTGCTACTGTCATAAATTACTTTCGACAATGTCGCGACTCAATTACAACCTTGAAGCCAAACTTCAATTATCCAGTTTCAAGCCGCACCATAAAAAACATTTATATTAAAGTCAAGGAAAGACACACTTACAAGTTTTCTGCAGAATCTGCTGCCAGGTGTTGCTCTTTACCGTTCGGAATATTGTTGTCGAAAACGATTGTTTCCGTGTTTGCTAAGCAAAACCCATTTGAACGCATAATATCTATGGTGGGGGAGAAAGGAAATAAAATTGGTTTGTCTCAGTGACTGGCTTTGCTACATGCCTACACAACATTTCATGACAAGCTTGAAGGGTGCAGGGTATGAACAGTTTATGTTAGCACAGGAGGCCATAGGACCACAGAAATGAAACAGCACCGGAAGGGACCATTCGGCCCAGTTTGTCCATGCTGACCCAAACACACCCAGATGCCCTTTCCAATCCTATCTTCCTGCACACGGTCCATAGCTCTGCAGCTTAAGGTGCAGATCCAGGTATTTCTTCAAAGAGCTTAGGATCTCTGCCTCCACCATCAGCTCAAGCAGCGAATTCTAGATACCTACCACCCTCAGCGTAAAAACGCTTTTCCCCACATTCCTCTCTAATCCTTCTGCCACTTAGCTTGAGTCTATGACTCAAGTTCTTGAACTCTCTGCCAAGAGAAACTGGTACCTCCTGTCTACTCTAACTCCACCCCTTGCTCTTTTGTATACCTCAATTGTCTCAAGATGTTTTGGAAAGAGTTTGTCTCCTAATGTCACACTCCCTTCCCCAGTTTAATATCATCCTCTCCTGAGGTGCTGAACTTGTCAGAATGGAGCCTCACACCTCCATCCAGGTGGTCATTCCAAAGGGGTCACTTTCGTCTCCATGGGTAGCAGTCCTGACATTGAGTCAGAGATTGTCGTTTCAAGTCCTGTGCCAGAGGCTCAAGTCCATCATGAAGTGCAGTACTGTGGGTGCACTGTACTGTCACAGATACCATCTGTTGGATAAGACAAATCAGGTTCCCATCTGCCCGCTCCAATGAGCAGAAATGACCCCATGGTGCTGGTCCTGCCCTGGATAATATTTATTCTTCCGTTGAAAACACTAATGTACGAAGCCATTTATTCATTGCTGTGTGTTAATTCGCTGCCATGTTTCTTGCTTTACAACAGTGACTACACATCAAAAGTATTTAGATGGTTGCGCCAGGCTTTGGAGCATCATGACATCACAGAAAGTACCATGTGAATGCAGGTCCGTATTTATTTACAGGTACATGTGAACCTGGCCAGTCGGTGGAAACACTTTGAATGGCTGTGAAACAGCGATGGTGCAGAATCTCCATCCTCCAATCTGGTTGGACATTGGCCCCATTCTAAGTTCCAAGAATTGGGTTGTTTGCATGTTGAGCCAAGATACCAACTACTGCAAGGACACCTCACTGTACTCACCCCAACACAAAAATAAAAAAGTCAAAATGATGAAAGAGACGTATTTGACAGAGTTGACTTGATACTTCAAAATGGAGGACTATTATGTTCACTTCCAAGTATTTCCATTTTTGCTTTCCTGCTTTCTTCCTCTGGCAATCTGGCCTTGTGACATGGTGCAGTGTACAGCTCCTCTATCTCAAGTGAGCCCTGCCCCTTCCATAGCCATTTTACCTCAGAAAATAAACAGAAGTTGCTGGAAAAGCTCAGCAGGTCTGGCAGCATCTGTGAAGAAAAAAATCAGAGTTAACATTTTGGGTCTGGTGACCCTTCCTCAGAACTGGTGCTTCACAGATGCTGCCAAACCTGCTGAGCTTTTCCAGCAACTTCTGTTTTTGTTCCTGATTTACAGCATCCACAGTTCTTTCAGTTTTTATTTAGTACTGCCTCAGAACATGATGAATTCCAGTCCTCCTGGCTCCAATTAAGGGTCTAGGCCTGAAACGTCGGCCTTTCTGCTCCTATGATGCTGCTTGGCCTGCTGTGTTCATCCAGCCCTGCACCTTGTTGTCTAGGCCTCAAACAGGCTGACAACAGCTTAATTGACATGAGCTCTAGAAAAACCTTTGGAAGGCAGAAAATGTGAATTTCTTGAGGTATTATTCTGACAAAAAGCACAAAGCAACTTGGCTGTGGATTTTGAACGAACTTACAGCACTGCTCCATACAGCACTGTTCACATTCACCTGACAATTGAACACTGCAAAGATAACAAAACTGAATTCTTTAACGAGTTTAATAAGCATATTAAAGTGACCATAATAAATCACCGTGGAAATAACAATATTGCACAATTGACACCGTCACTAAAACTGAAATTGCTGGAGAAACCAGTTCTGATGAAGAGTTACTGGACCCGAAACGTTAAATCTTCTTTCTCTCCATTGATGCTCCCAGACCTGCTGAGTTTTTCCAGCAATCACTGTTTTTGCTTCAGATTTCCAGCATCTTCAGTTCTTTATTTTGTTTAATGATAGTGTCACTACATTCAAACTTGTGCATTTTTATGCCTGACGAATACAGTGTGCAGTACTGGTTACCCTGTTATAGGAAGGATATTATTAAACTGGAGAAGGTTCAGAAAAGATTTACCAGGATGTTGCTGCGAATGGAGGTGTTGTAAGGTGGGGCTGGAGAGACTGGGGCTTTTATCCTCTGGAGCATAGGAGGTTATGAGGTGATCTTAATAAGAGTTTTATAAAATCATGAGGGGCATTGATAAGGTGAATAGCAAAGGTGAGAAGAGGAAGTTTTAAAAAGGACGTGAGGGGCACCTTTTTTTCACACAGACTGTGGTTAGTGTGTGGAATGAACTGCCAGAGAAAGTGGTAGATGCAGGTACAGTCACAACATTTAAAGACATTTGGATAAGTACATGAATAGGAAAGGTTTGGAGAGACATGGGCCAAATGCAGGCAGGTGGGACTGGTTTGGTTTTGGAATATGGTCGCTGTGGACTAGTTGGACCAAAGGGTTTGTTTTCATGCTGTATGTCTCTATGACTCTATAATACTAGAAATTATTGTTGCAGATATTAGTCCCTGCCTGCTTTTTAAATCATTTCTGCTCTGTCCCAAGATACTGAAGTGTAATTTTCAACATAAAATTTAACTCCGAGCAATTAATTCTGTTCAATAATGCTTAGGGTGTAGATAACGCTATATATATTGGAAGGAACTTAAACCAAGATTTTCTCTTTCAATCACCCTTTGATGTGCAAAGATAAGGGGTGGAATACAGTGAAGATATTAAATGAAACAAGAGCTGAACTTGATCATTTTATGATGGTAAATGATTCCTTTAATCAGATCTTCCTTTTTATGACAAAAATGACATATTCCTTATTCTTTGAAGCTGTGACAGCTTGCTATACATAATAGCCTCAGTCCTGAATTGAGAATATGGTCAGGCTATCAAACTCTACAATGTGAAAATGCTGACATTGCTCTCCCATAGACCCAGCTCCTGTCGGGGCTGCCTTCCACCAGTACCTTACTATACAATGACCAGCCATTGAAGGGCACAATAGGGTGTGAAAGGCCAGTGATCACACACGCAATACATCAGGAACAGTTGGGTCTGACAAATTCAGGAGCAAGTGAATTTTTAACTCGGGCAAATGCATGGCCGATATCGTATAATTTGGATAAATGTGAGGGTCTCCACTTTCACAGCAAAAACAGGAAGGCAGAATATTACTTGAATGGCTGTACATTGAGAGAGGGGAAAGCTCAATGAGACCTGGGTGTCCTCAGACACTAGTCACAGAAAGTAAGTATGCAGGTGCAGTAAGGAAGGTAAACTGTTAGCCTTCATAGTGAGAGGATTCGAGTGCAGGAACAAGAGTATCCTGCTGCAATTATACAGGGCATTGGGGGAGGCCACATCTGGAATATTGTGCGCAGTTTGGTCTCCTTGTCTTGGGGAAGGATGTTCTAACTACAGAGGGAACGCAGCAAATAGGTTTACCAAATTGATTTCTGATGTATGAGGACAGATTGAGTCAGTTAAGATTGTTTTTGCTGGAGTTTAGAAGAATGAGAGGAGATCTCGTAGAAACCTCTAAAATTCTAACAGGACTCTACGTGTTAGACGTGGGAAGGATGTTCCCGATGGTGGGGGGAGTTCAGAACCAGGGGTCATAGATTATGGTTAACCTTTTATGATTGAGATCAGGAGAAATTTCTTCACCCAAAGAATGGCGAGCCTGTGGAATTCACTGCTACAGGAAGTGGTTGATGCTAAAACATCAGGTGTTTTCAAGAAGGAGGTAGATATATCTTTTGTGGCTTAAGGGCTAGTGGGATTTGGTTGGGGGGGGGGGGGGGGTTTGGGGTATTGAGCTGGATGATCAGCCATGACGATATTGAATGGTAGAACAGGCTCGAGGGGTCGAATGGCCTATCGTCTATGTTTTTTAATTACTTCTGACCAAGCTCCCTGACTCATAAACTTAAGAAATGTGGAGTCTCATTACAAGGTAATTATTGTTGGAGGTTGGAGAAAAAGAGGTCCTTTTTTAAAACAGTTTTTCCGTCTTTACTGTCTTTCCGTTGTAACCCCAGCTGTTTTTTTTTCCCAAACTGTATTCTGATGTCTGTGCATAAATTAAATATAATTTACACTTCCTGAATGAGACTCCGTATGTCAGGATAGAGAGCAGCAAAACCAGTGCAATGATACTACCTGGAATACCCTAACACCTCAGTGAATGGACACATTGTTTGATCCTACAGTGAGCCACATGGACAGGGGGCCTAATTAACACAGGGAAAGCACAGTCTGATTATAACCGCACAATGCAACTTTAACCCGAGGAAAGGGGGAGGCCTGAATAGCACCAAACACGCCACCAGAAGCTGTCAGCAACTTGCCTTAGGCCAGAAGAGGCCCAGGTTAAGATTTTTTTTAAACATTTTCTTAAGATTGATTATGGCCCATGAGGAGGAGGGTTGACTCCTCTCTCTGGCCTCAGCTGAGTCAGACATTCTCCTGTATAGAATAAAAACCGAAAGAACTGCGGATGCTATAAATCATGAACAAAAACAGAAGTTGCTGGAAAAGCTCAGCAGGTCTGGCAGCATCTGTGAAGGAAAAAACAGAGTTAACATTTCAGGTCCGGTGACCCTTCCTCAGAACACTTCCTCCTGTGTAGCACTTCCTGATTTCTGGGTTCTTCCTACCAGGTCCTATTACATTCCCGTCAGTCGGGAGACAATCCTGAGGAACATGAATGAGGCCTGGGATTTTAAACAAACGCCAAAGCCTCATGTTCAGCAGTGTGCAGGTATTTATAACCCATTGGCACCCTTCAACATTCTGCGAGATATCACCGGACCTTCAGCTCCCTTCCTGCCAAGCGAACGTGGTGATATAATTTGGAATGATGTCCTCGGAGTATCATCCCATTTTGTGATGGGAATGTGTGACAGCTGCAGGCTCTCCATCCTCCCTCCGTCCCAAATACTGATCACTCGTGTTTGTAAAGACAGAACTGTTACGGGGAAAAGGAGCAGCTTTCTTCACAAAAAGCGTATCTGCCTTGTCTTTCTGAAGAAGGGTCCAGACCCGAAACGTCAGCTTTCCTGCTCCTCTGATGCTGCCTGGCCTGCTGTGTTCATCCAGCTCGACACCTTGTCATCTCTGCCTTGTCTTGCCTTTTTTTCTCCCCCGAGGGTGATCCTTCTTGCTCTTTCAGCGAAACAGCCTGCATTCATTAATCATCCATCCATAAAATCAGTCCGAGGGCTGGCCAGGGGAGAGGCTAGCGAGTCGGGGTCAGGGGTCATCAAGTCGGTGGGTACGGCGAGGGGAGATGGCGCAAGTCACGGGGAGGGTTCACAAGTTGGAGAACAGGACACGGCACAGGACAGTGTGTGAGAAACAACGTTAAAATTAGTTTCAGGACGCTCACAGCATTGTTGTAGTGCGGAAGGAGGCCATTTGGCCCATTCTGTGTGTACTAACACTCTAAGCTTTTCAACTCTTCCACTTAGTGCCTGTCTCCTGCCCTTTTCCTTGCACGTTGATTTTCTTTAAATAAGATTGCTCAGCAAGATTATATCTCCCATTCACATCAAAGTGAAATTGTCTGTGTAGGGGGCAATGTTAAATGAGGTGCACCAACATGTCACTTTTGTGATATGTCACACCAGTCACCGAACGACATAAGAGAAATTTTGGGCCTCGCGTTTTGGCTTTTGAGGTGAAGAGTTTAGTCCTCATTTCTCAAACTGAATGATAGTTATTTGCTAAAAATTCATTGCCGACAGCTCCTGGTTCCGAATCACTTTCCAACTCAACCAGAAGGTGGCAGCAAAGTACCAAAGATAAGCGATGCCGCAAAACCATAACTCTTATTTTGTTAAACTGCACCAATAGCCAACCTACATTCAGGGCAATGATATTTTCATGGCTGCAGTGTGTTATTTAACCATGCTGCAAAATGGTCGTGCATGTCACATTGGTAGGTGCCTCATGCTGTGAGAACTGAAACTACCAGAATTTCAAATACCTTAGTCTGTATCGACAGGTTTATTTTCAGAAATAGTGGGGACTTGATTTTCAACTCAGAGCTTGGGAACCCAATACCTCAATAATTTCTTGGTCCTGATCCAGCAACTGTGTCGCTCAATTGAACCTTCACCTGCACATTCTCTAACTGGGCCATTGTCCTTCTGCCCACCCTCCCCTCTTCCTCACCCCCTCCCTCCCCCCCTGCCCCCTCCTCCCCCCCCCCTCCTCCCCCTCCCCTCCCCAGTCCTTCTCCCCTCACTCCCCTTCTTCCCCATCCCCACACTCCCCCTCTTTCCCTGCATTAAATGGGATTATTTTTAAGAGAACAGGAGCTTGTTTAACATCTCAGTGTCTGCCAGGACTTTAGTCTTAGGAGTGGAATTGAACCTACAACCTTCAGAATAAGGCAGCTACTCACTAAGCCACAGTGAACATTGAGGTGTAATGCTACTCTGGTGAGGAGCTGGCAATGTGACCACCAACAGTGGAGCATCCCATGGCCATGATAGAAATGTACGGACATGCCTGAGTTACTGAGGACAGGCCTCAATCTCCCCGTGTGGAAAATGAGTCCATTCTGATGCTGATTGCAGTTGTAGCTGGGAGGCTGAGCGCTGTCTGTGCTAAGGAACAATGTGGACTCTGCCAGCTCACTATCAAAACAGCCGGGTTCTCTAAAGTGACTAAAGGTATTCAACCTCTGGTACTGGTACCTTCCAGAGATTATATACAGTCGATATAATGAAACAGAAGAGACATGCATTTATATAAAAACCGAAGGAACTGCGGATGCTGTAAATCAGAAACAAAAACAGAAGTTGCTAGAAAAGCTCAGCAGGTCTGTGAAGAGAAATCAGACTTAACGTTTCGGGTCCGGTGACCCTTCCTCAGAACATGCATTAATATTGTGCTTTTAATAATTGTCAGATGTCTCAAAGCGCATTACAGCCAGCGAAGTAATTTTTGAAATATAGCTCCTGTCGTAATGTAGGCCAATTCACACACAACAAACTGCCCACTACCAGCAATGTGATATTGACAAGATATTCTGTTCCTGTGATGTTGACTCAGGGATAAGTACTGGTCAGGACACCAGGAATAGCTCCCCTGCTCTTCATTAAAATAGAACAGTGGGATCTTTTACATCCACTAGTACCATCCATTTAACATCTCACTGGAAAGGCAGCAGTGACTCTGTCAGCGCAGCATCCCCTTGTTACTGCACTGGGGCAGTGACCCTGATCTCTCAAATTCCACAGTGGGACTTGGAGCCAGAACTTTGTGAGTTGGAGGCAATTATGCTGATGAAGGAGCCGTAACTTTACAACTCCTTCATCGATGACTCAAACATGAGCTGTTTGATTATGCAATCCAATGCTATTTGATTCATCTTGTTGAGGCTGTGCAGTTTTAGTCAATGCTCAATAATCAAATCCTTTCCCTTGAATTAATTGATCAGTTGTTCCTGAGGTGGAGCAGGATTCCTTGAGGGTTTTCTCTTCCACGATGGGGCTCCCAAGTAACATGGCCCACTCCCTCTGGTGACGGGGGACAGTAGTGATTCAGTGATAAGATCACTGGTCTGAGATCTTTAACTCCATTCCGGACTAACATTCTGGAGACTGGCATTTGGATCCCATCATAACTGATGGTGAAACTTGAATTTGATTTTAAAGAAAACTAGCCTAATGTTGAAAACCTTTTATTAAAAAGTCACCTGGTTCATTAATGTCTTTAAGGGAGGGAAATCTGCCACCCTTAGCTGGTTTGGCCTACATATGACTCCAGACCCACAGCAATGTGGAAATAAATTCTGGTGTAGCCAGCAATTCCCGTATCCCATGAATGAATAAAACAGGAGTTAAGGACATGAATTGTGCTTTAATGTCAGTGGCGTTGGGTTTAGAAGGGATTTGTCTCACTGATATTTGTCAGGTGTCCAGTTGCTAGAGCTGGCAGTTCACTCAGCACAGAATGAGCCTCACTAATGGGCATGTTACTTTAACGAGCCCCTGACAAAAGACGGGCATTAACCAATTAATGATACACCCACGTGCGCATAATGGGGGGATAAGCTATTTAAACAGTCCCTGCAATGGAAACACTATGTAATAGCTATACAGGTTCTGGGCATGGCCTCTGTACACTTTTTTTAAAATCCTCGATTGCATAAAATCAAGACAACATTTCAAAGCAGAGCTCCGCTGACAACTAATGGACTGTCAGTTCCATTTGACTTCAAAGCAGCAATTAATGAATCCTTTTAAAATACACCTGGCCCACTCTGTGACCCAGGAGTGAAGCAGGAAAAATTGTCAAATGACTGACTCACCTGATATTTTGACAGGACTTTGGAAGCTCATCTGAACTTTCTGGACAGTGTCATTTTTTAATACTTGGTCTATCGAAGATCTTTCGAAAAAGGTGAGGACAACTTCTGACCTAGAATACTAAATAAAGAGGCAGAAAATGAATGTGTAAAAATTGATAAACTGAAAAAGACACTATCTTTGTACAATGCATTGAATTTCCTTCTTCTCACCATGGTTAGATAGGCATTTTTGGATTGATGAAATGCCTTAGAGGCTGTTTTGTTACTATTGGTAAGATAAGAGGCCTGTAGTTTATCAGCAATAGGTCACATAAGTGGTTGTGTGGGCCTGGTATTTTCTCTGGTGATTACAGATGAATGAACAATGTTGTATCAGATACATAAACTCCCACTCATCTTTGAAAGTGGGATATTTAATCTAACCTGACCAAGCATATGTGATTCCAGCTCATTATGCAGCTCATAAATGCTTGCTAGAAGCAGCTTATATTCGTGTGCAAAGTCCCACTGTCTGCAAACTAATAGAATACATTCAAAGCCTTGAGCCTTTTTGTGAATTACCCAGCAGGTGGGAGAGTCTATGTTCTCCACCGCAATACCTCAATAAATCAGAGATAACTTGCCAGCCAATCCGCAGCCTTTTCTCCTGTGATGTAAGTTGCTGTAGTCGTTTGAAATTTGACATTTTTGAGTTTGTTCTGATGAATGTAAGATGTAAGGTTTCAATAATATGTCTCTTCTCTCAGCATTGTTGAAGTTCTCTTTATTTGCAACAATACACATCGGGCCCAACCTCCAAAGACTTCCTCAAATGTAACAGTGCGATATTTTTTGCCTCATATCTCATTATTCCCTGAGTATTGGCCAAGAACGAGAGAAAACCCCTTCTTCTTTGCTAAAACAGTACAGTGGGATATTGTTATTCCACCGCAGACCAGCAGATGGTGGTCTTGGTTTAACATCTCACCAGAAAGACAGCACTACTGGTGCGCCAGTCCTGACTTTTGTGCTCAAGTCCTGGGGTGGGATTTGAACCTAGAACCTTCCATCTTAAAGGCAAGAATGCAACTAAAATGTGAGAGATTAATCTTTCACTATAGCCAGAAGGACTCAGGAGTCCTTGTAGATAACTCGCAGCAAGTTAATATGCAGTTAGAGCAAGCAATCAGGAAAGCAAATGGTTTGTTAGACTTTATTGCAAAGTGGTTGCAGTATGATAATAATGACATCATCATTGCTGAACCCCTCACTATCAACAGCCTGGGGGTTACTATTGAACTGGAGTAGCCAGCTAAATAATGTGACTACAAGAGCAGGTTAGGAATCCTGCAGTGGGTAACTCATCAAAACACATCTACCATCGACAAGGCACAAGTCAGCAGTGTGATGGAATACTCCCCACTTGCCTGGATGGGTGCAGTTCCAACAACACTCAAGAAGCTTGATACCATCCAGGACAAAGCTGACCACATGTTTGGCACCAAATCCACGATCATTCACTCCCATCCCCACTGATGCTCAGCAGCAAGAGTATGTACCATGAATATGATGCACTGTAGCATCTTAGCAAGGCTCCTCAGACAGCACCACCGAAATCCATAACCAGAACCATCTGGGCACGCAGGGGCATACATACCAACTCTCCAAGCCACTCACCACTACACCTCATAGACTTGCCTCCGAACAGTGGGATGAATTCAAGAAGGAAATATGAAGAGTATGGGGCCAACATGTTCCAATAAAGAAAAAAGGTGGGATCATCCAAAACCTGTGAGTCCTGCATATCAAGGGATACTCAGCACTGCGTTAAGAGAAAAAGGAAAGATTATGGCAAATACCAAGGGCTCAAACCAGCAGAAACCTTGGGGGAGTATAGAATGTGCAAGAGAGAACTTAAAAAGGAGATTAGGAGACGTAAAATGTGACGTGAAAGGATGCTGGCAGATAAAATAAAGGTAAATCCTCAGCTATTTTTACAGGCACATTAGGGTTGAAAGGATAACGAGGGAAAGAACAGGTCCCATTAAAAACCACAGCAGTAATTTATATGTGGAGTCAGAGGATATACATAAGATTCTAAATGAATACTTTGTGTCATTGTTCATTAGTGAGTGGGACACTACGGTACAGCGATACAATGAATGAAATTAGCATGGACAGAGAGGAGGTTTTGAGTAGTTTGGCAGGCTTAAAAGTAGATAAATCTCCAGGGCTGGATGAAATGTACCCTAGGCTGTAGGCTGAGGCCATGGAGGGAGAACTTGCAAACATTTTTCGACTCCTTCCTGCCCACAGTAAAGGTGCCAGAGGACTGGCGGGCAGACAATGTGGTACTGTTAGTCAAGAAGGGAGCAAGGGATAAACCAGGAACCTACAGGCCAGTCAGTCGAACCTTGATGATGGGGAAACTATTGGAAGCAATACTGAGGGACAGATTGAATCTGCATTTGGAGAGGCAGGGATTAATCAAGAACAATCAGCATGGTTTTGTTAAGGGGAGGATCTTGTCTGACCAACTTGATTGAGTCTTGAAGGGGTGACCAGGTCTGTGGCTGAGGGCAATGCTTTTGAATGTAGTCTACTTGGACTTCAGCAAGGCTATTGATAAGGTTCTCCATTGGGAGACTGACAGCAAAGGTAAGAGCCCATGGGATCCAAGGAAATTTGGCAAATTTGATCCATGATTAGCTGAGTGGCAGGAAGCAGAGGGTGACTATGCGCTAAGTGTTGGGAAATGGGATTACACTAGTCAGCTGGTTGTGTTTGACAACGTGGACATGATGGGCTGAAGGGCCTTTTACTGTGCTGTAGGCCTCTGTGACTCTATGACCATCCTAACTTGGAAATATAGTATTGCTGGGTCAAAATTCTGAAACTCCCTCCCAAACAGCATTGTGGGTCTACCTATATTAAACAGACCTTCGCCAGGGCATTTAGGAATTGGCACTAATTCTGGCCCACCACCCGAGTTAATAAAAGAAAGCATCACGAAGTCTTCCAGAAATTGTGTACATCTTTGGCAGAGTGACAGGTGGAACCAGGTGTGCAATGTTGACCTCCTTATCTAAGGGAGGATATTCTTGCTCCAGTAATAAAATATCATTAACTCAATTCCTGAGAGCTATGCTGAGGAGAGATTGTGTAGAATGGGCCTATATCTTCTGGAACTTCACAGAATCCCTACAGTGTGGAAGCAGGACATTCAGCCCATCGAGTCCATACTAACCCTCCAAAGAGCATTCCCCCCCTCACCGACCACCTCTCACCACCCCTCCCCCCAACCTATCCCTGTAACCCTGCATTTCTACATCTCTGGACACTGTGGGCAACTTAGTATGGCCAATCTACCTAACCTGCACATCTTTGGACTGTGGGAGGAAACTGGAGCACCCGGAGGAAACCCACGCAGACACGGGGAGAATGTGCAAACTCCACGCAGAAGGTCGCCCGAGGCTGGAATCGAACCCAGGCCCCTGGTGCTGTGAGGTTTGGAAAAGACAGGTCTCATTAAAACACGATATTCTAAAATGGCTTGATAAGATGGATGCTGCAAGGCTGCTTCACCTAATGGGAGAGGTTAGAACCAGGGGGTCACAGTCCTGGAGATAAGGGATCAGCCCCTTTATCACTCAGAGGGTTATGGACTTTTGGAATTTTTACCCCAGGCTGCCATAGATGCTTAGTCATTGGGTATATTTAACATTGAAATCAATAGCTATTTGGGCAGCCATTAAAGGAATTGGGAAGAGAATAGGTAAGTAGAATTGATGGAGAAATTCAGCCCCATTTAGATGGGAAGTACTCCTGCTCTGATTTCTTAAGCTCGTATTTATCATATTTACACAATCAGTACCAGAATTCAGAAATGTACAGAACATAGCAAATTACTTTCACAGATCTCATCTGGTTGAAAGCACTGGAGTGTTGGCAAAGTATGAAGGTGCCTTCAGTACTCTGAGGATAAGGAACACCTCATAACAAATACTTACTTTGCAGGGCAAGTTAATTATAATCTTCAGAACTTTCTCAATTTCATTTAGTCTTGCTTCTATGTCATGGGCTTTTTTCACTGCAACTAATCCTGGAAGAAAAATAAAAAGATCATAAGAATGGATTGCTCTCCAGTGATATGTCCAGGTGAATATTAATCCTGTGGATGCAGACAACTACCATGCAGCAACAATTGAATCTGGGGGAGCAAATGAGGTATCAGAAGTAGAAATTTTAGAATTGGGGAAAGGACTACTAAGCCCCAATTTCTCATAATGCCTTTTAAGGTCATGTGCTTCACGGCGATCTGTTCTACCCAGCCACCTCTCATGAAGCAACTTTTTGCACCAGTCGACATCCTTTGGAATAAGGAATGGTAAACACAAGAAGTCACTAACGTTTCTTGTGACAAACCCAATCTGTCAAACAGCAGGTTTGAACTCGCATGGCAAAAGTGATTATTGTTCAATTGTTTCAGGACAAGTCAGAATCCCTGTACAGCCAACCACCACCAATGAGACCTCAGTAAAAAACTTCTTACACACTTGGGAAGAGGCTCAATAATGGTGCACTGACTAAATAAAAATTGAATCTTCCCTCCAGAAAGACAGCCAACTGTTCCCTAAACACGTCCCATTCTTGTAACTTATTCTACAACTTTGTGACCTCTTGAGTGAAACAGCTACAGGAGTTCCCGCTGTCATTCCGTGACACGCATTGCTGCAACGTGGAGATCTGATTCTGACATCTGTAATCATTTTCTCAGTTCATTAGGTTCTCTTTCTTTCTGGTCTGGGCTTCCTGCAATGTTTCAATGAAGCACAACGCTAGCTCAAGAAATGACACCTCATTTTCTGCTCGGTCACTTTACAGTGTCAAGGTCTCCATATTGAATTCCCTAACTTCAGAAACTGACCGCATGATGTTTGTTCCTCATTTTTATTACATTCTCCCCATCTCTCCCTCTCCCCATAACAACCTTGCCTTGTATGTATCTTGTTTGAATTTAAAATTATTGTCATGCATATAAAAAACAGTGAAAACTGTTTCATTGGGTGCAAAATGTCACTATGCTCTGGCACCATCTTGAAACAATGAATATAATGCAAGACTTTTACTGCAATAGAATTCATCTTTCCCTCTTCGTCTTGACACCCTGAACTGCTCCTACCTCTCTTTCACTGTTAACCCTCTGGCAGGGTTCAGTTTAACCCAGTTGGCTGGATGCTTGGTTTGCAAAGCAATATAATACTAACAGTGTGGGTTCAATTCCCATCACTGGCTGAGGTTACCATGTAGAGTCCTCCTTCTTCCCCAACTGCCTGAGGTATGATTAAACCACCACCAGTTGTCTCTCTGTAATGGCACAGCAGCTCTACAGTGAAACAACATCCATCACCTTCCCCCACATATTTCTCATTTAACTGATGCTGCTTGCCAACATTGTCTGAAAACATAAATGCAGGTTCCATGAGTATGCCAACAACACCGAGCTCCAGTCAACACTTGTGAGCAGGAATACTGTCCTGTTATGAGGATGGGATGCAGGCTGGCATGGCATTTTCCCAGCATCATTCCATTCCTGAAGCCATTTTCCTCAGCAGAGCAACACCATGACCATTCACCTGACAGAAGTGGATCGATTCTTAAGGTCACTAAGAGGCCAATTAAGGCGGAGATTGGAGGGCAGCTGGAGTTGGTCTGTCTTGGCAGCGAATGTGATGTAAAGACAAATGAACACAGATTCAACCCCTGTGCACCTGTTTATTTTAACTAGGTGTGAAATAATAACCCAGAGGGTGAATGTCCCAGCCTTGTTTGCTGTGCAGTGCTGAAATCTGCCCTCAGTGGAGTGAGGACAGCAGTAGGCTCTCACTGGCAGTGGTATTCTGTGTGTTGTACACTCGTGGGGAACAGTAAAATGGGAGGGGAGCGACAGAACAACAAAGAAATATTTATACCCAATCATTCGCTATTCCAAATCCACAAGTGTTTCATGTATAAAAGCAAAATGGTAAACAGCTAACCATGATGTGATTTTGCCTCCTCCAGGGTATCTTACCTGATGCGCTAATGTTTATGTTAGCTTTTGCAAAACGGGACACTAGGCTTGGACATTGTAGCATGGAGGAATTCAATTTATTATACTTGGCTAAGATATACCAACAATACATTCACAGGGACATAAGTGTCTGGGCTAACATTAAGCTGGGGCAGCATTGTGGCTCAGTGGTTATCACTGCTGCCTCACAGCACTAGGGACCTGGGTTCAATTTCAGCCTTGGGCAACTGTCTGTGTGGAGTTTGCACATTCTCCCCATGTCCGCGTGGGTTTCCTCCGGGTGCTCCGGTTTCCTCCCACAGTCCAAAGATAAGTAGGTTAGGTGGATTGGCCATGCTAAGTTGACCACAGCATCCAGAGGTGGGTTAGCCACAGGAAATGCAGGGTTATAGGGTGGGGGTTTGGGAGTGTGTGGACTTGATGGGCCAAATGGCCAGCTTCAACACTGTTGTGATTCTATTAGTTACAGAAGAGCAGTGTGCTTCTAGAATAGTGTCATGCTTCATGGGCTAAGACAGAGTTTGAGATCTTTATAACCTCAGGTCTCTATGCTATGATACAATGATGATAGCACAAGCTGGTCTCTTATTGACATACTGTGCCTCTTAAATGTATTTTGACACACCGACCATGAGAGTTAAAATGACAGCAATCTTGTCACTTATTATTTGCAATTCTCTCCACTTAAATGTAACAGGCTTGTCAGCAAAATTAGAGATCATGGAATAAAAGGAAATGGAGCAGCATGGCTGAGTAACAGGAAACAGTAGTGCCGAGTGGTTGAAGTTCAGTCTTAAGGAAAGTAAACTGACGGATCAAAGTTTTGAATCAAAACCCTTTGTCACCAATGTCCTGAGGAAGGGTCACTCGACCCGAAACATTATCTCTGATTTCTCTCCGCAGATGCTGCCAGGCCTGCTGAGCTTTTCTAGCACCTTCTGTTTTTGTATGTGGAATGCACACTGCCTGACAATGTGGTGGAGGCAGACGTCATTGAGGCTTTCTAAAGAAAAATGAATAATTACCCAAACTTTTAAATTTTGGAGCGCTATGAGGAAAAGTCAAGCGAATGGAGCCATGTGCGTCACCCTTGCAGAGAGCCAGCATTGATGTGATGGGCCAAACGGCCTCCTTCTGTGCTGGTAACTGTTCTGAGAACTGAAATGTTGGGTTGCAATTTACGAGAAGATGTGTACACAGTCTTACAATGCATGTCAAAATCATTATGCCACAATTTACGGCCTAGCTTAGCAAATTGATTCTTCATATATGAGCTACTTGACAAACAAAGACTTCATAAGTGACTCACGAAAACATCCTTGCCATCGTTGTGACCATTTGCTTCAGTCAGTGTGTCGGTCGACACCAGAACCCAGAGTTGACTGCTGATAGGAGAAATGGCAGCTGGACTCTGCAAATCCCACTGTGTAAACAGACATGATGAGGAACCTCACATCCAAAGTATTCGCTGTGATGCAACTGAATTATTTCAAGTGCAACATGTATACAGTGCTTCAAATGAATGGTATTACTGTTATGGAATTATTCTTGTTTCCACAGGGAACTTTCTGATGGCCTCACCAGGATTGGCTGCCATGGAAATGGTGTCAAAATGACCCAGAGATAGCAAGAACTGCAGACGCTGGAGCCAGAAACAACACATTGTGGAGCTGGAGGAACACAGCAGGCCAGCCAGCATCTGAGGAGCGGGGATGCTGACGTTTCGGGTCGGGACCCTTCTTCAGAAATGACTGCCTTAATTTGAAATTCTAATATTTCTGTTTTTTATTAAACAATGATTCCCCAGTAAATGCAGTCATACACTGAACCGCAGTTGAATCCCCTTCTCTCCATCCCAAGGCCTGATGACACTGAGACATGTAAGGGAGCTTAAACGAAGGTGCATTCACAACACAGTCCCATTAGTCAAATGGTCTCAGTTTCTGTCAAAGAAGCCAGGGGCAAGCAGAATCAGGGCTCCAGAAAATGCCCCAGAAGATAAACTTTTTCTTAAACAAAGATACAAATTAGGGGCAGCATCAGGGCCACTCAGCCCCTTGAACCTGCCCTGTCTTTCATTATGATCATGGCTGCTCTGTTTCTGCTGTGAATTCCACATTCCCATCTACCGCCATAACCTTTGTTCTGTGTTAAAAATTGTCAATGACCCTGTCTCCACCATGTTCTTAAGCAGAGGGTTCCAAAGCTGAGAACACTCTGAGAGAGAAAAAAATGCATCTCCGTCCTAAAAGATGGTGCCTAATTTTAAAACAGTATTCCCTAGTTCTGGACTTCCCCACAAGAAGAAACAGTCTTTCCACATCCTTTCCACCTTGTCAAGACCATTCAGGATGTTATACACTTCAATCAAGTCACCTCTCGCTCTTCTAAATTCCAGTGGAAATGGGCTGAGCCAGTCCAACCTTTCCTCATAAAACAACCCGCTCTTTCTGGCTATCAATCTAGTAAACCTTCATTTAACTGCCTCCAATCCATTTATATCCTCCCTTAAATAAGGAGACGAAAACAGCATGCAGCACTTGAGATGTGATCACACAAATGTGCTATATATATAATCTCCCTACTTTTACATTCCAGTCCTTTCATGATGAAGCATGGCATCTTCTTAATTACTTACTGCAATTTGGCAAGAATACATTGAATACAAGAGTAAACTGAGTACAGCTTTCACCTCCTTAATGATCGATTCTAATATCTTCCCTATGAGCGACACCAAGCTAATTGGCCCATAATTTCCTGGCATGGGCCTCCCTTCCTTCTTGAATAGAGGGGTTTATTTGCTACTTTCCAATCTGGTGGAACCTTTTCTGAATCCAGTAAATTTTGGAAAAATAACATCAAGGCTTTGACTACCTCATTAGTCACTTCTTCTAAAGAAACTAGGGCAAAGTTCAACAGAGCCAGGGACCTGTCAGCTTCCAGTGTCATTTGTTTACTTAGCAACACTTCCCTGGTGATTGTACTGTTTCTAAGTTCCTCCCTCCCTTCCATCTCCTGAGTTACAGGCA